GATCCTACCCCTAAGCTATCGGCGCACGGTCGAGAAAGGGAAATATTAACGTATTATATACGACATTTACACAAACATCAGTAGCTAAGAGGTCTCAATTCGTAAATGAAGAGCAATGCGTTAATCGCAGCAGTAGCTACTCTTTTGAAATTACCCTTTCTCCAGAGTGCTCGATATATATATATATATATATATATATATATATATATATATATATATATATATATATATATATATACACTAAAACTTAACAAATTATTGATATTAAACTTGTTATTAATTTTTATAGTAATTCGTACAAGTGATTTCTTTCTGGATCAGTTTATGTAAAAAACTGTCCAAATGATATTCCATGGGACGGACGCCTTCAGTTATCTAAGTCGTATGAAGAATATTTTGAAAATAAATGTCTCTTGATATATATTAAAATGGTGAAATTTCTTGCTAACTAGAAATTTAAAATAGTTGGAATTCCTCATTCCTATTAACACAATAATTTCCTTTTTGTATGAATAATAAATATAAATTAAACTGCATCACATATTTGAGACACACACACACACATACACACATGCACACACATACATATATATATATATATATATATATATATATATATATATATATAGTGGGTGAATGGAATGTGTGTGTGTGTTCTAGAAGGGAATTATTTTTTCATTTTCGAACTTACAGTCAGCACTTTGTGGCAGTGTTTGTAGTTGATATTATTGAGAGTAATCACTTACAAAGAATGGTTAATTCACTTTAAAAATTATTCTTGATATTGGCTAATAGATTAACCGAAAACGATCGGACCCATGAAACATTTGGACAGTTTTTACACACTTAATTATCAGTAAAGGAACTACTTGGACATAATACAAGCTAAATTTAATAAAAAGCCCAACTTTAGTGCCTTGTCCGGGGTATAAAAGAGGGACCGCTGCCCAAATACACAATTATATATATATATATATATGTATACACTATCGATTCTCACGTCGAAATCGACGTATGAGGGTCAAGGAGATCAGTTCATAGGAAACCGGCAGCCCAACACCAGCACATGAGATTTGATTATAGTGGTGAAGGTTTCGTGCAGGACAATCTACACTTTTTGAAGGGCCGAATACAGAGACCTGGTGCATTACGTGCCACAAGGTCCCCAAACGACCCTCCGCAGATTTTGAATTCAGAGTTTTCCTTTTCCTAGACCAGTTGCTATCCAAGGCTATGGAACCCAGTCTGTCCTGCTATTTACCCATAGCTGAAGGGAGAAAAAGAATATTCATACCGTTCCCAAGGGTATTAGCACGTAAGTAATTCGAACTTGGCTCTCCGATTCCTCAATCCAAGCCGCTATCCATTACACCACCATGTCTCCTTTATTTTTATATATATATATATATATATATATATATGTATATATATATGAGAATTCGCTTGAGGATGAAATGGGCTAATGTCTTTGTTTAATTACAAAATTAAATTCAGGGCTTTTAGCTTCCATTTTTTGAAACATAGTTAGAACTGTGTGAAAAAAAACATATTTTAAATCAATTAATTTATAATCTATATATACAGAGAGACCTACCTCTCGAGGTTTAAGTAGAGTCTACTCTACTTACTGTATTAAGCACTTTATTTAGTTATTTTGTTTACTCGTATCGGTTTTTTTTTCTTTGGGCTTTGGACTTGCATGCTGGACGATTATTTTTGGCTAACATACATGTTCTTGGTTCTTTCTTTTTTAAAACCTTTTTGTATTGGTTTGATTATTTGCAAATCAAGACACCAAAGGTTTTCCGGACATCTATAATTTCTTATACTTATAAGATTATAATAATAATATAACCTACCATGATTCTAACTGTAGAAGTCATAACATAATTTACCTCATAGAATGCACACTATGCCAGAAACAATATGTAGGAAAATCTGAATGGCCCTTTCACTACAGAATTAATAATTATCGCAATCGAATTAAGTCGAATCCCCATGAAAGATTTCCGCCTTGAAAAACACGATTTCAAAACCCATGACAAATTCACTATAATTGAGAGAATAGAAAAGTTTAGAGCAGATAATATATAGAAAGATTTTAGAGTTCCATGAAAATAAGTGGATACAACGTTTAAAAACACACTATCTAGCCGGGCTAAACCATAAATTTAACAATATAGATAGTATTAATATATAACCCTACAAATCAAACCCTACCCACTTTACTCACCCACACAAAGACAGACATGCTTACGGAGGTATTGAGGCCTCACATATACACCACCCACACGAGCATACACTTACACACATCATACTCACTCACTCCTAATGGGCAAATGATAAACACACACCCACAATAATATACACGCTTACACATATCGCCTCACTCACTCCCTAAGAGACAAATAACACACACGCACTTAACAGAGACACATCCCCTCTCCAGGAACCAATAAAACAGGGGAATTCAGAGCAGCATAGATTAATCCAGCTCTTATCTCAAATAACAATTTAAAAGAGACTGTTTGACCAACACAAGGAATGTTAAAAGATTCATGTTAAAAAGATAAAAAAAATTAAAAAAAAACAAATGAAAACTACAGACAAAATTTCATTATCTCTATCAAGACATTCATTTCTGTAGTTCACTGCTACCAGCAAGCAGAAAGTTTTTTCTCCTGATGATGGCCATGTTGGCCGAAACTAGTCGAGGAATCTAAATGAAATAATAATAATAATAATAATAATAATAATAATAATAGTAATAAAAACGAAAGAATATTAATCTACAACCCAGTGTGTCTGAAGATTTTAATTTTTTAATATTTTTTATTGTTCAATATACACACACACACACACACACACACACACACACACACACACACACACACACACAGAGATACAGACACACAGATACTATTTTCTCTTCATCTCCGCCTATCTCTTTATCTATATGATTTGATGCAAATAATGCAACGTAAAAATCTGTAAAACAATGCTGATTTTTCTTTGTCGTCATTAGAAGTTTGTCAGGGTTTATTAAATATTATCATGATTTATAAATAACAAATTCCGACATCTTATTATTCAAGAACGCTATCGGTGTGTCATCCAGTTCTGAGAATCCCATTTCTTTCCATTTTCACTTACAATTAATTGTAGATTCGGGTAGATGTTATTAATTGAAGCCAAAGTAAAATACTTTCTAGGTGATTTCTACGTAAACATCGAATAAAAAATAATTTTATATTTTACAAAATTTTTCTTTATTGAATGATTCACAAATAGCTTTCTTTGGTGACGTTAGATAATCAAATATTCTTTCCTGCAGTAAATCCTTTTAACAAAATTGTTCCAAAACGTATCGTTTCAAAATTTTAAACATTGGCAGCTCTTAAATTCTTAAAAGTATAATAGTTTTTTTCAGACTCTTTCTTCTATGGAAAGTGTGAAATTATTTTCCTGTTTATTAAGAATCCATTTGAACATCAAATACATAAATGAAGGTTATTTAACCCAAGTCCCACTCAATCAGATTGTAAAGTTTAAAGTCGATTAAAAGGCCAAGTCTATATAGACTACGGACCAAATTGCACATTTTGGGACGCCTGAAGCCGAGTGAGAGGCATCTACTGCTATGTCTACTGCAAGGAGAAATGATTCACGGAGTCCATCATACACATCTATAAATCTAATATTCTTCCCTGCTATGAATACTGTTGCATTATCAGGCCAGTATTCCTGCTGTACATCCCGAGGTTCTTGACAAAATTCAAAGAAGAATTTAATGTCCAAACCAGGAATCTCGACTTCAGTCAAATTCTCACCGACGATACGTGGCTTCCCTCTGTCTTTTCTACAAATATTTTCATAGCTACTGCTCTGACGGGCTTTTCCCCTTGATGCTTCGACTACACAAATTTAAGCTTTCTAATAGACTGCCAACTAGGTTTTACTGTTTTTGGCATATAATCAGAAGGTTTTTTCTCAACAGAGTCTATCATGGATGTTTACAAATCTATCATTCATCCGTGCCATATCTGGTCCGTTGCTCCTGCTATTTATCTCGAGGTTCTTGATAAAATCCAAAGAAGGATTTTTAATGAAATCGATCCAAAGCAGGCATCTCGATTTCAGTCACTTTCTCACCGACGTTACGTGGCTTCCCTCTGTCTTTTCTACAAATATTTTCATGCCAACTGCTCCGACGGGCTTTTTTTTTACTACTTGAATTTAAGCGTTCTAATAGACTGGCGACTAGGTCTCACCATTTTACTGTTGAACTAGCTAGATATAGCAGCAGTACTTTCAATGCAGGGAAGAATATTAGATTTATAGATGTGCATGATGGAATCAGTGAACCAATTTTCCTTGCAGTAGACATAGCAATTGACACCTCTCCCTCGGTTTCAGGAATCCCAAAATGGGAAATACTAAGTGGGCTCGCTGTCGTGTTTTGACTTCTAATGCTACAGTTGAATATTGCTTTTATTTGTCCTTTTTCTTTATTAGCGGCACCCATATTGAATTTATTTCTATGCTAGGCCTACTAAGGAGATCCTCATAGCCTAGTATATATTCTGATTCTTTGTGGCGTCTAACACTTTAAATTTATTTTTCCAATGGTTATGTCCTTATGCAGTAATACTAGAGATCACTGCATTTGTTAATAATAACAGGAAACTGATAACTCTAATTTATATCCAATACTGCTTTATTTTTTTCGTTTTTTACGGTTTATCAACACTTTGTAGTTATTTAAAGCCAACATATATTTTTTGATTGTAATATATTTGGGGTGGTGGGAGAAACATAATAATAGTTTAGTGATACAAGTTTTACAAATTAACCCATAGCTGGGGGAGAAGAGGTGGATACATACCTTTACCAAGGGTATTTGTGCGTAAGTCTATATACCGAGAACAAGTGGAATTGGAACTCGGCTCTCTGATTAACCATTCCGTATATATATCCATTTCACCGTTGGCACATCCAAGCTTACAGCACCTGTTATTGGCAAGTGATCACCCATATAGGTAATGACAAGGCTTGACGTTGCTTAACTTCTGTGATCGGACGAGAACCGGTGTTTCAGAATGATATGATACTAGACGGAGAGTTAATATCTATCTGATATTCTTATATGAAGGTCACCCTTTATTAGTTGACTAGAGTTTCTTTTGATTTTATTATTGTTGTGATATGTCTGTAATCCTTTTCTTGAAGAAGAAAAACGTCATAAGTCCCGTACTAATTCTAAATTCTATCACGATACATTAACCTCATCTTCAACATTGATTTATTAACGATTGATCTTTGCCAAGCAATAGTTAATATCTGTTTAAGAAAAGGGACATAATGCCGACTCTGATTCAATACAAATATTATCCACCCGTACGATTTTTGTTAGTTGCCTAGTAATATTTACAGCATTCAGAAACGTAGAAAGCACAGAGCAGGCTTTAACGATAAACGGAAATGATAATATATATTAGATCGTTTTTTCTTTTTTTATCTAAATGGGAATAAATCATAGTTTGGGGGCGTCTTTGTCTTGGAAATATACAATTACACAGAAATACTAAAAAATTGGAAGTCTTGATAAAATGCATTTAAGTCAAATTAAATAATTTATTTTTTCAAATTGGTATAGCATGCGGATAATGAAAACTGTTCAAACCTGAACATAAAACGTTGCCCCTCCCCAAACCCCACGCCAAATAACGGATTATTAAACCAGTTAATCCATCAAGTTATCTATTGATTCTCCCGTCTCGCAGCAAATTTAACACATCTCCCAAAGTTACTCCATCATTAAATAAATTAAAAAAAAAAATAATTTTTTAAAATTTTCTTTTCGGAGAAAATTATTTGATGCTTTAAATTACTGGAACTTATTTTTATGCACACCCACGCATATATATACAAACACACACACAAACACAAAAACACATAGCCACCCATATATACATATATAACAGAGAAGCAATATTTACGAATTCACATCTACTTTAAGAAAATGTGTTTCTGACCAATCCGAATTCTTAAATAATTCTATTGAATATACGACAAGAAGCTTAACAAGAAGACTGACGTTACATCTCTGTGATCAGAGCTCAATCAGGTCTCATGTAAATACACATGGAGACCTACCATCCACTTGTAAAAAAAAGATAAAAATAATGTAATCATTATTAAAAAAAAGAAAAAGCTAACACTCAATAATATCAGCTATGAACACCGCCACAATGTGCTGATCGTGTTTGGAAAATAGAACATTTCTATAACTCTAGATACATACATAAAACAATCCATACATTCGGTTTCATCGGACAGTTAACTCAGCTGCGTGTATCGGCCATGTTGTGGTTTGTCTTTCCTCCCTCCCGGCGAATAATGGTAAGCCTAACTATGCCCTCATTCTCGATTCTGGTGAGTTAAAATAGGGACGCTTGCAAATGGCCACCACGAAGTGATGTAGGAAAGAAAAAAACACTATCGGTATATCGTTCGGCCAAATAGTTTGTCTTTCCTCCCTCCCGGCGAATATTGGTAAGGTAAGCCTAATAGTGCCCTCATTCTCGATTCTGGTGAGTTAAAATAGGGATGCTTGCAAATGGCCACCAGGAGGTGATGTAGGAAAAAAAAAGAAAGAAAAAGAAAGACACTATCAGTATATGGTTCGGCCAAATAGCATTTAGTATGTGTTCTCTGTCGCCTGTCAGAATGTTTGATTCTCTTTGTAAGTAATCGTTCAGTTTCAATCTCTTCTTTTCCGGTTGATTTTATTTTTTAAATTTATTTTTTATGTTATTCTATTTATTTATTTATTATCAATGACTGTTACTAATTCTCTTAGTTTAGAATAATGTTCTTTAATGCCAATGCGAATTTTAGCTTCCCCCCTCTCATTCATTTCAATCCTTATTTTAAGTTCTTTGTGTATGAATTCCTCGAAATAAACACGGTAGCATCGGTCAGTTAACTCAGCCGCATATATCGGCCATATTGTGTCTTTCTTCCCTCCCGCCAAAGTTTAGACTTTGACTTTGAAATATACAAAATTAGAAACTTTAGACTTTGAAATATACAAAATTCTTTTTTCTGTATGTGTGTGTTTGTGTGCGTAATAGGAGTAGATAAGTCTACTTATCTCTCAGTCAAGTTTCGTCCCTCTTCTCTTGAACAGACCTGCCGAGTGTCATCCTTTGTTTCCTGTTTAGGAAGGGGTTCCCGGATCTTTTCCTTTTCTCTGGCCTCTGTATTAGTGCTGTCGTGAATCCCTTGTGATATGTGCAGACTGTGGCAACGTCTCTAACACTTGCGTAGGGTCTTGAGCGGCTGCTCTGATCAACGGTAGCATAATATACGGATGCTTGATGTATCATGGGCAACTCCAAGGCCACATTATGTTGTAGGTTGCGCGAGTTCCTTTCTGTCCATGTTACATACAGTGGCCATTCAGCTAATATTAATTTAGGTCCTCTCACTTTCACTACCAACATAACCCATCATGACTACAAACAACCCAAGGAGTAAACCTAAACCAGCTTTTAAAAAAATCACCTAAACCCTTTAACATTTCCTTTTTTTAACATCCGTGTCTTTGAGACCAACTTCTGCAGTGTGGAATGGTTAATCGCTGAGAAGTTTCCGGATATACTAGCTCTCTTCGAGACCAACCTTAATACGCCAATCCCCTCCTGACTTTTCGATTCCCGATTATCTTCCTCTCCTTAGAAAGGACTCTATTACGCACATACATGGCTTGGGAGTTTTCGCATCTATCTATCTATCTATCTATCTATCTATCTATCTATCTATCTATCTAAAATGAAGAATATATTTTTAATTCAGTCTTTCCTATATGAAGGTGACAATTTTTGGTTAAACCTTTTAGCATTATCAATATTATGTTACTATATCAGTTAATATCCACCGGCCTAGAGAACAAATCCTTATTAAAGAATATGTACCTCTCTACTGGAATAAAATTTGTATTTCTTTTAAGATGGCATCTCAGATTAAAAGGAGTACAGATTCACTATAAATAAAGTTTTTAGCAATAAGGTCGAAAACCTTATATTTAACTTTTCTAAATTTCAGACTATTTTATTTTCCCGGATTCAGTTACATATTTAAACAAAGATTATGAGTTATATATATATATTTTTTTTTTCTTAATATTTTATTCATTTGCCTCTTCTGTCGATATTTCTGATATGTGGTATTGTAACTGTTTGCACTATTTGAAATAATAGACAGAGAACATCAGTGGAAAATAGGAAATGTAAAGGAATCAGCGCATATACTAATCCACAAAAATCTCTTAAGTCGGCCAAGCATAGACATGGATACTATATACAACTAATAATACAGAGAGTTTGAGAAAAAACAACAATGAGAAAAATTGTAATGTCTGCTTTGGTAAAAAAATGGTTATGTATCAATATATGTATAATTCCCAAGGTCAATAACTGATGTCTCCAAGGACACATGGCCCAGTGAATAAAAGCGTTGGTTAAGTAATCCAAAGAACCAAAGTGAGTTCAATACTAAAAAACATTTGAGCGTTGAGTTACTAAAGGGAATTAACTAGAAACTGAGATAATCAACAAGGCATGGCACGTGGAATTACATCAATCTACCCTCGTTGACTAAATAAAGTGTTAGGTTCGAAATTCCAACGGGTATTACCTGAAGAAGACCGGAGTATATAGAGACCTAAACGTCGTGAATATGACAATAAAGACGAGGACAACAGTTCGAATGATGTAAATAGTTTAAATAATTTTCCCCTTTCTTACCATTTATTAAACGTCTCTTCCATAACACATGTTACATTTGTATACATATATCACACACAAAATGTAGCAATTATTTGTTGGCAGGTTTATTATCAATATATAATATAGTTATATATATATATATATTATCAATATATATATTATCAATAAATAATATACTTATATATATATATTATCAGTGTACCCTGACGATCCGCGTAGGTGAAACCTAGATAGGTCTGCCTGGCTCTTTAGGTCCATAGTTACATTTTCTCTACTTAGTGTATGGAGCACTTTGCTTAGTTACTTTTGCTTTACTCGTTTTGGAGGGGTTTTTTTTTGGACTCTGAGCTTGGATTCTGGACGATATTTTGCGCCTCAATTACATGTTCTTAGTTCTTTCTTTTTTATTCCTTATTTTCCTTTGGATATTGGTTTGTTCATTTACAAGCCAAAACACCTAAATTTTTCAGACAGTATAATTACGTATATTTATAAGATTATTATTATTATTATTATATATATATATATATATATATATATATATATATATATATATATATATATATATATTATCAATACATATATTATCAATATACAATATACTTATTTATACATTATCAATATATGTATTATCAATATATTATATACTTATATATTATCAATATATATATTATCAATATATAATATATATATATATATCAATATCAATATATATATTATCAATATATAATATATTATCAATATATATATTATCAATATAAAAATATATATATATATTATCAATATAAAATATATTTATATATATTACTAAAATATATATTATTTATATATATTATCAATATATAAAATATATTATATATTATCAATATATATATTATCAATATATATTATACTTGTATATATATATATATTATCAATATATATTATCAATATATATATATATATATATATATTATATATATTATCAATATATAATATACTTGTATATATATTGTCAATATATATTATCAATATATATTATCAATATATTATACTTATATATATTATCAATATATATTATCAATATATAATATACTTATATATATCATCCAAGTTATATATTTTCAATATGTATATTATCAATATATATATATTATCAATATATAATGGACTTATATATATTATCAATATATATATTATCAATATATATATTATCAATATATATATATTAACAATATATAATATACTTATATATATTTTCAACATATAATATACTTATATATATATATATATATATATATATATATATATATATATATATATATATATATTATCAATATATATTATCAATATATAATATATAATGCTATGATGCTACACCATCATATATTATATATTGAATATACAACATCATGCTACTCTTCTTTGGTTTGTAGACTATAGAAATAAATAGGCAAATCGGCAATGTCTAATGAAACATATTTAATTTGCAAGAAATCACTTTCTGTGAAAGTGATCTTAATTCTACTGTCGAAATCTGTGAAAAGATACATAGACATCGTGACGGGAGAATAGTAATGTATCTTACCACTGAGGAATTAATATCAGGAAATCCAACCGACATTGGCAAACTGGTTAACGTGCTTGGCCCGAAAACCATTTAGTTTGAAATCTCGTAAACATCACCCGGTGTCACAGTTATCAAAGAATGCAAAGCAACAAGAAAGAAAAATATAGAAACATTTCGATTATTTCAACTATTCCCTAGTGACACTTAAAATGAGACGAACTAAGCGTTGGAACAACTTTATATTAGCTACTATCTATTCCCTGGTTCCTGTTTTATAACTTCTCTAGCAGAAGAAGTAAAATCACTGGTAGCAACAATATCAAGTATAGCTAAACAGAAAAATTTTTCAGTGACATGTTTATCTGTGATTTGACCATAAATGTTTGAAAGTAGAATCGATTATAGTGCCCTTATTAAAACATGTCATCGCATAATTTTTGCTATCTTATAAACAGTGGAACGTATAGACATTCCCAAAAATCATTCTTTAAAACGTGATAGACAACCGTTTACCATATTCTTCCAGACTTCGAAATGCCTATTTGACAATACTTTTCCTATCTCCTGGGAGGTTTTGAAATGCCAATTTCACAATTCGTTTGCCTTTTTCTTAGGAATTTTGAAATGTTTATTTTTCAAACCAGTTTGCTTGCCATAATTCTTACCAATTTGGAAATGGCTATTTCACAACATTTTCCTATATTTTTGGAAACGTTGGAATGCCGATTTCACAAGCCGTTTGTCTATGTTTCTAATATGAGGAGTTGTAACTACATATTTGCACTATTTACATTGTTCGGACTGTTGTCCTCATCTTTATTGTCAAATTCACGACGTTTCAGCCACTTTGTCCATTTGGCTATGTGTTCTCAAGTGGATAAAAGCGTTGGTTGAAGTGATTCAAAAATGACTTGACCCAAAGCTGACCACAGCTGACCACAGAAGAGGTGAACATAAAAGTTGAGTTACTAAAGGGAATTAAGTGAAAAAACAAACAAACAAAATATCAAGAAAAAAGGCATGACACGTGGAACTAGAACAATTTACGCCCGTGGACTAAATAAAGTGTTTGATTAGAAGTTCCAACATATATCACCTGTAGAAGGCCGGAGCGTACAACAGTCCGAACAATGTAAATAGTGTAGATAGATATAAACCGTTTGTCATGTTTGAAATGCCTTTTTTACAATTCATTTGCCATATTCTTGGACATTTCGCAATGCATATTTCAAAGAGTTTTTCTTATATTCTTAAAGAGGTTGAAATGCCGATTTCACAATCAGTTTTCCATATTCTTTGAAGTTTGAAATGTCTATTTTACAAGTCGTTTGTTAGATTCGTGAACATGAAATGCCGATTTTACATTCTGTTTATCCCATTCTTGTACATTTGAAAATGCCAATTTCATAAGATCTTAGGAATAGTCATCATCGGAAATTTACACTCCATCTATAAAATCTATACATAGCAGATAGACGTTTATTTTTCGGAATAGTCCTTTAATTTTATACTTTAAGTCAAGGATGGCCAACTTGTGGCGCATGCGCCCTAAGTGACGCATTGCATCCTTTTGATGAAAAGAAACTAAGCCACTTCTACTCATTCATTTCAGTGATTTTATATTTATTGCACATTCAAAACTCCTGGATACGCCTCTGGTCATAAGCATATATTTTTCAAATAAATAGATTTTATTATAACTTTAAAATATGTCCATATTACAACACGTACTGAAAGGAAGTGGATGTTTGTACAAAATATTGGCGCATGGAATCTTAAAAGGTTGGCCAACCCTGTTTTACGTTCATGTTCATTTTATTTCAAACTTGCAAAAATCAAAAAAAAAAAATTAGCTTCAACAAAATACAAACTGACACTGAGTCGGGCGTTATTGTAATTATCTATAAGCATTTCCTTGTTTGAAAAAAACAAACACTAAGTTCAAATTTGCACTATGTTTTCGCCAAAGGAGACTTGCAATTAGCTTTTGTTTGTCGAGAAAATCGTTGCATTAAGAATAATGAAAATTACGTCAATTGGTTCACTAAGTAATTTTAAAGTTCAGACATTTGTGAATTATTCCGTCATAATTATTGAATTTCGTTTTTCGAAGATTATGTTTGCCTGGAAACAAAACCTGTTGAAACATTCACACAGCCCCCTACTGTTCAATGTCCTAGACGTTGGAAAATCATTTTAGTCGCTTTCCCCCAATGCAAAGGAGAAAAGCCACTAAGACACAAGAGGTTACTGGGTGTGAAAGAATTAGAAAACAGAAACCTTATCAGAGAGCGAGAATAATAAAAGAATAACCAGGAAGACAATAAGCATAGCATTGCTTTTAAAGTTTTCGAGATCAAAGTTTGCGGGGAAGTATGGAGACGGAAAGGTGTTCCATAGAGAGAAAACAGAAACTGTTTTCATAGAACAAATGGTTACGTCTAGCCAATTCAACTGTAAATTGATAGGACCTTGTTGTTACTCTAGTACTGTGTTTAAATTAAGTACCATAGTGAAGGGCTATTATAGAACAAT